TGGGGCCCCGGGGGGAGAGGAGGCCATGCCAGCCCCCTCTTACCTGGAAGGACTGGCAGGACTTCATCTGGCTGTCGGAAAGGGCCAGCGTGCTCTGGATCAGGTTCTGCAGTACCAGGAAGTGGATGTCGGAGACGCTGGGGGCAAGGAGAGAAGGGAGGGCGGCCCCAGCTCAGCCTCCACGACAGGGGGTGTTCTCCTTCAAGGCCCTCCGCAGCCCCCCCCCCGCACAGCCTGCTGGTGTGGGCAGAGAAGAAGCCCACTGCCCCCATCCCGCCCCCTTCTCCACCCCTAAGGAAGAGGGAGCCCAGCAGGGAGGGCCGTTCGGTTGCTCACCTGCTCAGCACGTCTTCTTTCTTCCTCTGGCTGGTTTCATCCCCAATGGCCAGAACCCGGAACCTGGATGGGAGGGAAAGCAAGGAGCCACAGGGAAGCCAAAGAGCCCAGGGTCTGACGTGGCGGCTCCTCAGGGAACCTTCACTCCCAAGCCCTTATTGTAAAATGGAACATGCGCGCTGCACATGGGAGGTCCCCGCTGACTCCTGGCAGCCTCTGCAAGAAGGGCTGGGAAGTCCCTGGCCTGAAGCCCCCGAGAGGGACGGATGGGGTGTAAAGTCACTTCCTCACCCTCTCCTTCCCCCATACCCCAGTCTAGAGGCTGGTGCTAGCTTTGGAAGGGAGGACTCCCGCCCCCACCCCCCCTCCAGCTCTCCCAGAAGTGAACCAACCCCCCCCCGGGAGGCAAAGGCAGACTCCCACAGCAGCAGCTCACGGGTGGCGGCTGCCCCACTGACTTGCAATCCCGAGTGAGAGAGACAGAGAGACTCCAGCTCAGTGCTGGTCCTCTGGCTGGCAGACTCTGCAGGAAGAGGAATAGTGTGTGTGGGAGGGGGGGAGAAAGGGAGTGGGGGCAGGTACCTGCAGAAAAGCTCCTCAAGGGTGTCTGGAATGGTCAGCCTGGGACTCCCCAGCGAGGAACTGAACTTCACCTTCAGTCGCTCCACAAAGTCCTTAAATTCTTTGGCACAAACCTTTGAAGGCGAGAGAGAGAGAGAGAGAGAAAGAGAGAGCAAAGCAGCTTCCAGCCCTTGCAGAGAAGCCCAGAGCTGCCGCCTCCCTCCTCCAGAGGCTTCGGCGGGAGGGGGGTGCGGGGGGGGGCTCCCGTTTACCTGCCTAGATGCCTCAACGGGGTCACCCAGGGTGGGGGGGCTCTTTGCAGACTCCTCCTCCTGCCCCCTCTCCCCTCGTGGTCTCTGGCACACACACACACCCCCAACAGCGCAGGGAGACTTGCCTGGCTGTGAGATGGCCTGAGGAGGGGGCTGAAGGGGCACATGCTGCCTCAGCGGCCCTCCAGATGCCCCCATGCCTGCCATCTCCTGGGCTTCCAAGGGAGAGGGGCCAGCTGGAAGGCAGCCCCTGGCCGGGCTGGGCTGACGTCCACCTATCCAGGCGGGCTGGCGGCAGGGACGTGACCACAGGCCCTTCCACCCTCCCTCAAGGAGCTTTGAGCGGCTCACAGTTGAGCAGGCGCTCCCTGCGAGGAGACCTGGGCATACCAGAACAGCCGCCTCCTGCTCCTGGACCTCACATGGTGCCCAAAGCAATTGGGCACAGAACACACCGGGGGGGGATAGCTCAGATTCAGAAAGGCAGGCAGGTTTCTGTGGAGCTGTGTGTCCCCCCCACCCCCACCCCACCCCACCCCCTGCTCCCAGTCTTTCCACTCCTTGGGGGCAGCCCTCACTTTGGGGTCCTGATAGTTGCCTTTCTTGCTGAGGGCATCATCAATCAGGGCCAGGTCTTGATAGACTTCGGCAAGGCAGACCCTGAAGGAGGAGGAACAACATTGTCCAGCCTGGTTAGAGAGTTTTGCTGGGGGGGGGTGTTTCCTACCTTCCCCCACCCCCACCAAAAGCCACTCTGGGGTTCGAGGCAAGTGGCCACGGGGGCAGCACCCTTTGGATTCTTAGCCCTCCAGGGAGCCCAGGGAAGCCGCTGGCACTGGCACTGACGCTGGTGCTGGAGGAGAGACATGCAAATACGCCCTCCCCTCCCCAAAGAGGCACCCTCTCCGCTGCCTCGTAGCCCAGAGAAAGGAGAGCCTCTCACTTGTAGTTGAGGTAGGTCTGGGGGTTCCTGACGATGTAGCGAGCGCGCCGCCCGACGGAGTGGGAGGTCTTGTCCAGCGATTCTTCGAAGTTGGCGTGCATGATGTCCCTCACCACTTGCCAGGGGACAAAGGGCCCCTTCACCTGCCCCATAGAAGCGGGAGGGCGGGGGAGGCCCAGGTCAGACCCAGGCCAGGCCCCGTTCCCTCCCCAGGGCAGGGGGGTGGGAGTGGGGGATACACGGGGACCAGCTCCTGGGCAGATTGTGCGGGGCTGAAGGCCCGGCCCCTCTGGCCCACGGAGCCCCAAGGGCCGCAGGGACGGGCCCTTGCCCACCCAGCCCTGCCCAGCCCCGTCTCCCCTTTACCTTGGTGTTGAGAACGTGGCTGGCAATGCGGCAGAGCATCAGCAGGCCGTCCTCCTGCACGGTCCACATGACGCGCAGGCGGGTCATCCTCTGGAGGGCGCTCTGGTCCGCCTCGTCGTGGTAGCGGGCCTTCTTGCTCTTCTCTCCGCAGCTCCCATCTTCCAGGCAGAGAGGGAGGGAAGGGGAGAGATGGGACAAGGATCCTTCCAGGAAAGCCATCCTGGACGGGGTCCTTCCCACCCGACTTTTCCCTCCGCAGGCACCCAGGGCTCCCCAAGGGCTCCCTGGATCGCAGGCAGCCCTTCCGGCCACTAAAGGCCTGTTCACTAAGCCCAAGAGCCCAAACAGGCAGGCAGGCGTTAGCTGCTGTCTCTCAGAAGGAAGGGTAGGGACAGGCTGGGCTGGGACTCTACCAAGAGGAGCCCTTGGGCAAAGTTCTGCGCCATGGGGCAGCCCAGCGTTCCCCAACTCCCCTGCGGCCCCAGGAGGCCCCTTGCCTCTTTTCCTCTTCCTCTTCCTGGCCTTCTTCACCACCTCCTTCTTCAGCCGCTTCCTCTTCTGGCTCTTCCCACCCCTCACTCGCTTGCTTCTGTTCAGAGCAGCCTCTTCTTCCACTTCCAGGTCTTCCTTCTGCACAGCAGGATCAGGGCCTGCCAAGGCGTCTCCCCAGGGAGCGCTGCTTCCGCCTGGAGTCCCTGCAAAAGCCCAGGTCTGCAAAAAAGGCCCACCAGGCGGCAGAGACCCCTTCGGCCAGGGCTCTCCTCTGCTCAAGGTCCCAGGGAGGAGAGGGAGCCGGGCCCTGGAGCGGGAGCCCGGGTGAGGGTGGGCAATATCCCAACGAGGCCACTGCTGTCTGTTACCTCTGGTGCCAAGCGGCAGAGCGCGCTTGGTCAGGAAGGTGTGGAGCCGAACCATGTGCCCGGTTTCAGCAGCTGCATCATCCTAGCCAGGGAGCAGAAGAGGGTGTCGTCAGTGGCAGGCAGTTCAACTCCTCCTCCCCTCACCCCCCAGGGAGAGAGGGAGGGTCTGTGTTCCTGGATCCCCGGAAGAAGCGGCTCTCACGGCCAAGGTTGCCTCCAGCCAGAAAGCCTCGCCAGACACCCCCCCCCCGCCCAAGCGCTGACAGGAACCCTGGGGCCACAATCAAGGCATGAGGAAGAGGAGGAGGGCCTGCCTCAGGGTGGGGCAGGGTAAGCAGAGGCCGCCGAGGGACCTCCCTGTATACACGGGTGGGTGGGTGCCTGCGGCAGGCGCGCACTACGCGGCGTCACTCCCCACGCAGCCTTGTTCCTGTCAGAAGGGCATCTCCAACACATGCTGTCTTATGGGAGCAGGACCCAGAATCGTCCCCGGGGTCAGGCGGGGTCACAGAGCTGGGCTTGGCAGGGAGGCCAAGAAGGAAAACCGAGCGCGTGGCTGGCCCTGACATCCATGCTCACTCTTCCCACTTGGGGTGGGAATGCTCCTCCTCTCTCTGCAGCGTTCCTCAGAGTGATGTCACCCCTCCCACAACTGAGCGCTTAAGGCTCTTAAGCTGACCTTTCTGGTCTTGTTGATGATGTAGCTGGTCCAAATCCAATTGCGCTTTAAGTGACCGTAGAAGCTGGAATCCAGGCCACCTGCTCCCAGGCCGTCCCCAGGAATTGAGCCATCATCCTCCACCTCTCGGTGTCCTCTGTGGGGAAAGACGACCATCGAGAGAGAGAAAAGCTGAGGCCGAGAGAAACATCATGCCTTCCTCTGAGAAAGCAGTGTCAATCTAATCCACAACACTGCCAACTGACACCATCAACATTACGACTGTGGATGTATATCTCGCCTTACCTTCTGTTCACCTCCCACAATGACCCCCCCCAACCCTCTTTGTGAGTTCCTGTAGGTCAGGCCCAGCCCACGGTCAGCCCAAGAGTGCTGGGATTCGGGCATGGGAAGAACCAGAACAGCACCCCCAAGGGCCCAGCTCAGCGTTCCAACCAGGCTGAACACCACCCTGGCTCTCCGCCCCGCTGCCTCTGAACGATGGCACAGGGACCATGCGCCCTGCGCGAGGGACCAGGAGACAAGCCAGGCTTCTACCAAGGCTGAAGGAGAGAGCGGAGGCGCCCCCCAGCAGAGCAGCCGCCCCACCTCTGCAACCCAGAACATCCCTACCAAGTGGGATGGCGCGAGACGCACGTGGTGTACTCCAGCATGGCGCACTTCCGTTCAAGATTGTGTTTGTGGACAGCCGACTCCTGCTCCAGGGTGGCGTCCAGGGAGAGGCCCGCTTCGTCGGCTTGACCTCCGCCCCTCCTAACGCGAGGATGGCGCACAATGCCTGAAAAAGGGAAGAGCCCTTGTGGACCCTCTCGCGGATCGGAGCGTGTAGGGGTGGGTGGCCGCAAGGCCAGAGCGGCAGGAGGCAAAGGTGGGCAGGGGAGAACGGCAGCCGGGTAATGAGAGGGCAGAGAGCCCAGAGGCAGGATTCGGACGAGCGGCTGCCGGGATCCTACCTAGAGGGGTGTTGAGGCAAACGCACTGCAGGTCGAACCAGAAGTTCTGGACCTCCTGCAGAGTGTTCAACGCGTACAAGCGCCTGTCGAAGGGGCGGCTGCTTTGAGCCAGGTTGTAGTGGGGCTCACAGACGGTGGTGTCCACAATCACAGCCTTTTTCTTCACGTAGACAAACACCTGCAAGACACCCACGGAAGTCAGGTCCACATCGCCTGCCCCAGAACTCCTCCCGATTCCACCCGTCTTGACATGTGGCAAGGATGTTCTGTCCCACTGCAGCCCAGGAACCCTGCTCACATGACAGGTGGCAGGTTTTGATCAGAACAATGGCAATCCTCCCTCTAGAGGGCAACTCCTCCCTCCTCTTAAGCAACCCTGAATGCTTCTACGCCACCCCCACCCCGCCCTGGGCCAGTCAGTTTTCATGGTGCCAAAGGACTCTGGGCTGACCTTCTTCTAAGAGACTCTCTTTCTTGTGACAAAGTTGTGCCTCTGCTCTTTCGCTTTCAGTGGCCGGTTGCTTTAAAGTGGTCCAGAATGAAATTACCTGATCCTTTTCCTGGAACTTCTCCATGGGACCAAACTGCACCAACCCCATGTAACACAGGCGCTGCAGGCTTTCGACCACAGAGAAGATGTACCTCCTGCAGGGAAGCAGAAGATGCAGGATGAAACTCTTCCTCTGCCAGGCAGCTTCAGATTCAGCAGTTCCCTCACACGTTCTTCCCTTCTGCAGAATTAGCCGTTGCCTGTCTCTCTTGACCGGCACAGATTTTCTCCAAGAGAAGTGACCCTTTTCTAAATTTTACCTTTTGTACAGGAGCTTCTGTCGAATTGATCTGGGAAGATATCTGATCAGGGTGTGTTTTTTCAGAGGGTCGTTCAAATAATCTTCCAAGCCGTCAACCTGAAAGTTGTTTTACCCTGAGTTAAATTCTCAGGCAAGACAAGACGGGCTAACTCACGACATGCCAATTAAGCCCTAACCTACGCTTGGGTCCAACAGAACTCCTCTGCTCTGATGGATTCTGAGTCATGCCTGTGTGCAGGCAGGCAGCGGGGGGAGACCTTACTTATCCTTGCCCGAGGAGGAGGGCGGGGTCTCTGCAAGAGCAGAGGGAGCCAGGAGTAACTCACCTTGTAACTGACTTGCACGATCTGGACAAAGATGGAGAGGGGCAAGCAGAGAAGGGTGTCACTGACCAGAGCCCAGCCGTGGCCAAATTCCCGGTGGACTGGGAGGGGAGGGATGTGGCGCATCCATGTGGCGTTGTCCACGTACACTGCGTAGAAAGGGAGTAAAGGACAGTTCTCCTAATCAAAACAGGCCACAGAGAGACAGTGCCGGCTGCTCTCCGGAAGGGGCCCCACAGGAGGCTCTGCAGCCGTTGGGCAGGCAGCGGGTGGGCCTTGGCCAGGGCCACAGGTCCCGTTTGCTGCTGCTGCTGCTGCTGCTGTTCCACTGGCTGGGAATGGCCGTAAGAAGCGCCTGGGTGCCTCCTGGGAGACACGAAGCCTGCCCAACCCTTCCAAGGCTTCCTCCTGGTCCTTTCATGGGGCCTTCCTTCTCTGCGACCCGGGATCCTTACCTGCCTGATCTGTGAAGTCCGCGTCCACCTCCAGAGCTCGGATCTTGGTGGGGCTTTCCACCCTGCCTGCTGCTGCCGCTGGTGCCGGCAGAGACTCCTTCTCCTTCTCTGCCACCCTGGGGAGGCTGCCGGGGGCACCGGAGCTCGGCTCAGGATCTTGCCTGGTGCTCGTGGTGGGCTCAGCACTGACACCTTCTCTCCTCTGCTGGGGATGCCCATAGACCAGGTACCAGAGGAACAGGTGGGTGGTCCTCAGGCGAGGCATTTTGGGCAGGAAGCCCAGAGAGCGTCCGAGGCCTGCCACTGAAGGGAACAGGGACAGGCCGGCTTCAGGGAGCGTGGGTGCGCAGCCCTTGCCTGCCTCAGCTGGCAAGAGGCAGGCACCTCACCCCCCCCACCCGGCACCCTGGAAGAGGCCCCCTTTACCTGTCACGGGGTGGTAGCTGAACTTGCTGACGCGCACCTTCTCGCCAGCGGCCTCCGGCTTGCACGGAGAGACAGAGGCCTCCATTTCCCTCAGCGCAACCCCACCGCCAGGGTCTTGGCTCCCTTCCTCTGGGGGATCCTGCGGGGTCGGGGTCTGGGGAACTTTAATCCTGCCATTCAGAAAGCAGGAGAGAAAGGGGCAAGTAGGGCCCAGCAAACCACTTCAGGGAGCAGCAGCTGGGTCTCTACAAGCGGCGGCGGGGGCGGCGGCGGGGGGGAGCCCCAAGGATCAGCGAGAGAGAACTTCCAAACCAGCCTGCTTCGCTTCCCAGGGCTGTGCCTCTTCCTCCTCTGTCTCCCCCGCTGCCCCCCGCCCCCTGCCAGAGCGGCCCTCCTCTGGCCAAGCCCCCCAGCCCTCAGCAGCCTCCTTCCAGGGCGCATTGCGTACCACCTGCCTGTTCAGAGTACTTGAGTTGGAGATGCGGAAGCGCACTTGCTCAATGGCGCTCTTCACCAGAGGGTCGCTGGGGTTCACAGAGGGGTCCACCACAAACTCCACCTGCCAAGTGGGAGGGAAACAGAGGGCAGATGCAGGAGGCAAGCGGGCAAAGAAAAGGCAACGCCAAGGGGCGCCCACGGGGGAGCCACCAGGGCAGAGCTAGCAGCTCCCTCCCTCCCTCTCTCTCTCGGCGCATGACTTTCCACACGACGCAGGGCCATTCCCACCCAAGGAAGGGCTGAGCACCTTCCGGCTGATCCCGTCCTGGATGACGGTGGTGCGGTAGAGACGCAGGAGTCCTTCCTGGGAGAGCTTCTGCACCAAGCGGACAATGGATTTCTTGCAGCACCTGGTGGGGACGCCTTCCTGCTTCTCCTGGTCCATGATCATCTTCTGAAGCCTGGAGCCAGGGAGGGCATTCAGCAGCAGTGGCCGTGGCACCACCAGCCCACATTCAGGAGG